AGAGAGAGAGTGAGAGAGAAAGAAAGAAAGAGAGAGAGTGTGTGTGAGAGAGAGAGAAAAAAAAAAACAGACAGAGAGAGAAAATTTGAAAAACAAGCAGGTAGGTAAATGTAAGCAGACAGCATAGCTACAGACAGGTAATCAAAGATTTAAAAAAAAAAACACACACATGTAGTATCCATATAAAAAAATGACGTAATATCACTTAATAAATGACTGTTTTTATTTGAATTGCAGGGTCTATGCACTGTGTTATGTCCCCTACGTTATGGGAAGGAGAGAAATGCAGCAAATATCACTATTGGCTGACCCTCAGGAGCAATGCCACGACCCTGTGGAAGCTCGGATGCTCTGCTGGTTATGAGAGTGAGTGTTTTGGGCAGGCACAGAGGTCATGTATATTTACTGCATCCACACACAGACACACGCGCGCATAAACACATACACACACGCGCACACACTCATTCACTCACACTCATTCACTCGCACACACACATGCACGCACGACAAACACTCATTCTCTCTCTCTCTCTCACACACACACACACACAAACACACTCATTTACTCACACACACACACAACACACACACACACACACACATTCACACACACACACACACATTCACACACACACACATACACACATACACACACATTCACACACACACACGGACATAGAAATCATCAGCATACATGTACACACGCCTTCATACGCACATTCACCCATACATACACACACAGAGATGACCAAACCCTCTAGCATGTTAATACCATGAAAGAACAAAAACAACAACAAAATCAACAGCAACAACAACAAAATTGAACTGCAAATGGATCAGTAGTTTCAACATCCACCTGAATTTCATCTTTGGGTTCCGAAGTTAAGATCCAGGCATTTATGTGTAATATATCTTTAAAATTATCTTTTTTTTTCTTTGTTCTTTTCCCTTTTTTGCTGAAATCCAGACATTTTTTTTTTCTTTTTCCTTTCTTCCAGGGTGCAGCAATCTCCTGGAGAAGGTGATCCTGGGACTCGACGCCCTTCCGGCCACCTTCCACTGGAGGCCCCAGGATACGTCCTTAGGGCTGTGGATACAAGGGAAAGGATTCGAGAAGAATTTCAGCGTCACGAACACCTGGCACGACCTCAGCGTCAGCCCTGATGGTGACGGTTGGTATGCCTGGGACGCGTTTATTTGGCAGAGGTTGCTGGTCAAGGAATTTTAAGATGCAGTTTGGATGTTGTATTTTAGGCTGTGTGTGTGTTTCAGCTACACAGAAAGGTATCGTTAGGAGGGGTGTCGAGACATTCGATAACGAAGAGATCCTTTTTTTTTACGGAAGGGTTGGTGTTTAGGGTTTCAGAAGAAAACCTCACTTGGCAACTAATCCACCGACCTCCAGCAGAGCGCCTGTGACTTGAAATAGGGATAACCAGAAAGAAATTTCCTCGATCAAACTAATAAAATGAGGAATAATAAGGAAACGTTAAGAAGACTACTCATGTAAGGGATGGAATATGCCTTGCAATATTCGTATAAGCCACACATACCCAAAAGTAGTTGGAATATCAGGGATACCAACAGTTTCGTAACGTCAACAACTATATTTCAAAAAGTATCGTTGTGTCAAAATGTTTAGCATAGTTTTCTAACAATATTTTTCTGTGTAGTTGTACTGGCATGCAAAGCTTGATATTCCGAGGTGTTTTAAGTGCCATAAGCCTACCTTTAGCATACCTTGTTTCAACGAGGGTCCGTGAAGTTGTGGAACGTCAAATGGCGATTAAAGAAAATGGGCTTTTGTAAAAGTTTGTGAAGAAGAATACAAGCATATAGGGCACTCGGTCTTCCTCTTCCACATCCACTTTCTTTTGCGTTCAGGATAGTCACTCTTATTTCTTCTTCTTTATCAAATGTCTAAACTTGAATTTCCACAGTAAGAGTATATCTAAATCTACTCATTTCTTCTTTATCAAATGTCTAAACTTGAATTACCACAGTAAGAGTATATCTAAACCTACACACAAACAACCAATCCCTTAACCACACCCCACCCAAAAACAAAAAACAAGAAAAAAAAACATAAACCAATCCACAAACATGAGACCAAAGCCCCACATCCTTTGTTTCACCACAGTCCCGTCTCTCCCCCCCCCCAGAAAGCCTATGTAGAGTGCACAGCCAGAGCCTCAAATTCAGTGTCCCTTGCTACCACAACGCGACGGAGCGAGACTACCTGAGATTTGGCGAGAAAGGAATCGGACAGAGTCTTTTCGCGTTGGACTGTGTGAAGAGTGAGTATCTCGGGGTTGCCATTCGGTTGGCGGCGCGGTCGAGTCGTGTGAACTTATGCATTGCTGTTGATATTTTCCTTTTGTTGTGGTTTATATCGCTGTGTTATTATCGTCTTTCTTAGCTTGTATGGTGGTATTATTATCATTATTACAGTTATTATTGTCATCATCATCATTATTACAGTTATTATTGTCATCATCAT